CCTGGAGAGTCAGAGGAAGAAGGCGATTCGGGAAGCCACAGTCTTGCAGCCATTGGAGGAAAAGAGCTGCTCGTCCTCAGGGAAGAAGGTGGTGCCGTCCAGCACAGCCTGGACGACATCATCCCTTGGCTCCAGGCCCAGGTGGGCCAGCTCGTTGAGCACGCAGTGCCGCACGTGGTGCCGCTGAAGCGGCAGGAAGGGCACCAACACGTCCAGGAGATGCTCTTCTATGATGCCCGAGCGCCAGAAGCCATCTGCAGGAAGGGGTGATGGGGAAAGGTGTCCGGGCTTCACCGGGATGAGCGGGGCCTCCCGCCCCCAAAGGGCAGTGCAGGTGCTGGTCTGGTCTTAATCCACTCAGCCACCTTCTGGCTGCTGGGCTCAGGGAGGTGGTATGACAGCCAGGATCGCCAAACCTGGGCTGGGAGGTCCGGGTTCAGCGGGCAGAGCATCAGACCCGGGAGAACCCGGCCCTCCCCAGGGAGCCGGGCCCACCGGATCTGGGTGTGAAGCCCCAGCCTGCGGCAGCCATCCCAGCCAAACTCACGGTGCGGGTTGTCCAGCATAGCCCGGGAGATGACCGGCTCCAGCTCCTGCAGGCGGATCTCCTCGCGGTCCCGGCGGCTGCGCCACGCCTCCAGTGCCACCTGGTTGATCTGCTCGCCACCAGTGTTGCTAAAACCATGGGAGATGTGGGCTGAGACTCAGACAGTGGCGGGGGAATTTGGCCCTAGTTTCCCACATGCTACCTAACATGACCTGAGCTTGTGGCCCCAGCTCAGGGCCGGCAGGAGCCAAACCCACTGGAAACACTCCACAGGAACCATGTCCCCTCTCCAGAGCTTGCATCCACAGCCATGACCCCTGGAAATTCACCTCTGGGTGCCATGTACTTTACAGTTTACAAAACACTTTGGGGTCCCTTAACTCACTTTCCCTCACCCAGTCTCTGGGAGGACAGTGGGGCATTAACATTGGCCCTGCTGTGCAGAAGAGGAAAGGGGAGCTCAGAGAGGTGAAGTGATTTGCCTGAGGAAACACAGCTAGGACTCTTAAAGGTGGGATTAGAATGCTAGTCCTGTTTTTCCCAGGCCTGTGTCCTCCTGGCCACAAAGGAGGGAAAACTCTTGATCTAGCGGAGATTCCACAAAGAAATGGTGAGGATCAAAAAGACTGAGCCCAGGGGCCGGCCCGGTGGCTTGCCAAGCCATGCTGTGGCAGCATCCCATATAAAGTAGAGGAAGATGGGCACGGATGTTAGCCCAGGGCCAGTCTTCCTCAACAAAAGGAGGAGGACTGGCAACAGATGTTAGCTCAGGGCTAATCTTCCTCACACACACAAAAAAGACTGAGCCCAGAACGGGCTTTGAGAATGTCAAAGGGAAGTCAACCACATTGAATGACAGCGTCACCAGAGAGAGTGTGAGGGGCTCTGAGAAAGCCTGACTGGGCCCAGGGTGAACAGTCCGCAGGCCAAGACGGGACAGCGGAGACTCTGACAAGTGTTCCTGCACTGTCCAGTTGCAAAGCCAGGCCCCACCTGATGAAGATGAAGATGGCCTTGCGATAGTTGGTCCCATACACAACCCAGGAAGGGCCCAGGAAAGGTCGCAGGACCTCCATCAGGCCTGGGGCCAGCTTGTCCATCTCGTCGAAGAGGAAGAGGGAGCGGCCGCAGGCAGTGAGGTTCCCCTGGACCCAGCTCTTCAGATCCTTCTGCAGGAGAGAGGCGGGAGTTCGAGGGGCCTGGAGCTACTCCCTCAGCCCTAGACGTCTTCCCAAGGCAAGAACTCATTCCCTTCCCAGGAAGATATGGTCTCCCAGAGAGCACCAATCCCTTAATGGGACTGATGGTGAAACAGTGGCCCTGAGGGGGGCAGAGACTTGTCCAAGCTCGCACAGCAAGTCAGCAGGAGAACGGGGACGCAAACCCAGGCCTTGCACCTGCCTGTTCTGGCCTCCTTCCCTGACCCCTTAAAAGGGGTCGGCTCCTTCCTGCTCCCTGAACCTTTCCAACAGTGCTGACAGCTGAAACAGATCAGCCTGGAAAGTCTCTTGCAATCAACAACAACAGTAGAAAGAGCTAATATTTACTGAGTGCTTACTCTGAGCCTCAGATTGGGGCTAGTGCTTCATAGAGAGAAGATAATGCAGACTGTCCGGCACAAGTAGGTGCTCAATAAAGAACACCTGCAATTACATAATCCCATGTCCCTCACACAACCCTGGTAGGTAGGTACCATTACTGCCCCCAGTAACTAAAGCGAGAACTCCCTGCCAGGTAGAATGGCACCCTCCCAAGCTCTGTTCAGGATGGGTCCTGAGGGCTAAAGCACCAACTGTCTGTGTGGCCTGGAGAAAGTGACTCCCCCCTCTGGGCTCAGGACTCACTCCCTAGGGTCTTGCACCCCACAGTGGGCAGGCAAACAGTGGTCCAGGATGCAACTAGCCTACCTTGTAGCGCTCTATGTGGCTGGGGTGGGGGAAGTGGATGACAGGGGAAAAGTGGTGCACATGGGGGCTGCGGAGGCCCCCCTGGAAGAGGTAGTGCGCCAGCAGGGAGCTGACATAAGACTTGCCGGTGCCTGTCCAGCCATGCAGGGAGAGGACCAGCGGCTTGGTGGGAGCCGGGTCCTGCACGAAGGCCTTCAGCGCCTTCACCACCAGCGCCCTGGCCAAGTGCTGGCCTGCCAGGTGCTGGGCCAGGTCACACTCCAGACCTAGGGCCACAAGAAGGACAGTGTCAGAGCTGAGGACACACCCCCACCAGGGAAAAAGTTAAAGGGGGAAGTCATGTCTGGAACCTAGGCTAGGGATCCCCAGGTTCCGGGGCATTTTACAAGCTATCTGTGGAAAGGGAGTGGGGCCCTTGGGGTCTCCAGCAGCAGGAGCCACCCTCAGGCCTGACTCAGCTCGGCAGCGCCCCCACCAGACGGCCCTCTAGATTGTGCTCAGCCCTAAAAGGGTGCGAGCTGTCAACAGGGTCTGCCCTAGACCCCTGCCCATCCCCAAGGCAGGCTTCTCCTCAGCCAGCCAGTCCGCAGTGGAGGCCTAAACCTACCCCCTAGGCCCTGCTCTCGAAGGCTCTCTCCATCCTGGCAGGGCTCTGCCTGGATCCCAAACCCTCGCCCCAAGTCCCATGCCGCAGGCCCTCAGGGTCCCTCAACGCCGGTCCCGCTCCAGCGCTGGCCGTCCGGAAGTCTGGGGGTCCTGCCCCTCGGTTCTACCCTCCAGGTCCGGCCCCGGCACAACCCCGGAGTCCGAGGGCTCCCAAGTCCGCGGCCCCTCCGCTCCGGGCCCCCGCGGCTCCTCACCCTGGAAGTCGGGCCGGAAGTCACATTCGCAGAAGGCGCCGAAGTTGCAGCTCAGCGAAGTCAGGTCCCAGGCGGCGGCCGCGGCCGAGACCAGCCCGAGCAGCCCGAGGAGCGAGCCCCAGGGCCAGCAGCCGCCCCTCGCAGCCGCCATCCGCCTGAGGCCCGAGCTCGGCCTGCGGCCGCCAATCGCCTCTCCCAAGAACTACAACTCCCGGCGTGCATCGCTCCGCGGCCGCCGCCGCCGGTGGCCTACAACTCCCGGTTCCCCTCTCGCGGTTCTCAAAGGCCCGCCCCGTCGTTACCCAGTATGACCAAAGGTGGCCTCCAGGGGGAGCCCGCGAACCGTCCAATCCAAGACGGCGGGCCGCGTTTCCATGGCCACGGTAACTAGGGGACCATCATAGCAGCTCCGAAAGAATAATGAAGAAAGGATTATGACCACAAAGGACGACGTAACAATTGTAGCAAAACCTTGTGCGGCACCTTGCACCTTGCAAAGTGCCTTTTGCCTGCTCTTTTTTCTTTTATATGATAAACGAGTGCTCACTAATAGCTTCTGGTGAGCACCTACTGTGTGCCATTGGTGTTAGGTGCCTTATATATCTTATAATAGCAGTACCTGTCATACAGAGAAATGATGGTATTTCAATGAGGTACAGGCACATAAAAGTGGCTCAGAAAGTAATCAACAAATGATCATGGACAATCCATTATGTATGAAACAGAGTTGTCCTTACCTAGCAGCTACTATGCGCTAAGTTCTTTAACATCAATCCTAAGGGATCGGTTCTGTTATTGTACCCATTTTATTGAGGAGGAAATTGGCACCCAAGAAGTTAAGCCTCTTATCCAAGGCCACTCAGCTAGTAAACAATAGAACTGAACCCAAGTCTGGCTGCTGCCAAAGATCTAATGCACTATGTATTCCAGCCTCTCCTGGTCAAAGGATTCAGACAGCAAAGGACCGCAGATGTTTCAAATTCAGTGAACAGGCTCCCCAGGCCTCCAGCGGAGCCTGGAATCATAGTGATCCACGTTGCCTACCTCCCCCACCCACGGAATCAAGACAACTGCCTTCATGGCCCTCCTCAAAAATTCCCTGCCCCGCTCACCACACACACACACACACACACACACACACACACACACACACGCGCGCGCAAAGACTTTTGGGGCCACATTTCAAAGCCTGAAAGGAAATGAGTAGTTCCCACTATTGAGGAGAGAAAAGGAAAGAACTCCAGGTCAGGACACCCAGGTCCCAGCCTTCCTCATTCTGCTGTTGTGACTCACGGAACATCCCTTTGCCCTCCAGTTCTCAATTTTCCAGAGGGGAGTTGGAATCCTAGATTTCAAAAAGCCCTCCCACCCCACACACCTGGGATCCTTGGTTGTGCGTTTGTGGGAACCTTTGCTGTGACTTCCCGAGGCAGGGAATGGGGTTGGAGTAGGGGTGGCTCAGTATTTCTCCCACAGGTTGGAATTGGCTGTTCATCTCCTCTCTGGTCTCTGAGCTTCTCCAGCACAGGGACTGGGTTTTAGTACTGGCTGTAACTCTGGCTCCCAGCTAGAAGCTACAATCTGGAATGTCCCAGGTGCTAAATAAGTATTTGTTGAATGAATTTTCCACCCTTCACCCGAGAAAAAATGCTTCCTTTCACCCCTGGGCCCCCCGAGAGACAGAAGAAAGAGTCATAAAAGTTTATTATATGAAAGAAAGAACATGGCTTCTGTACATCTATTTACAGAACAGACAGACGTATTTACAGCCAGATGGAGGCCCTGGTGGCGGTGGGGGGCAGATGCCTGGAGAAGAGTGAGGAGGTGTGAGGAGCCTCCCACAGCTCGAACACAGGGCATCTCAGCAGGAAGGGGAGAAGCAGATGCTGGAGGAGGAACAGGGGTTCCAGTTCTTCCTGAAGGGAGACTCGGTGAGCGTGTAGCAGGGGGATGGAGGCCAGAGTCCACACTGGACCCTGGAGGTACAAGGGAGGTCCTGGAGTTGAACCCAGAACGTGCTCGGGCTGATCACAGTGTCCCTGGGGTGCTCTGGGGAAAGGTCTGTGCCCCTCTGTCCCTGTTGCTGCCCGCAGCTACAGAGGGGAAGGGTCCATGGGGGTCACAGCTCACTGGAGCGGACAGCAGGCTCCAGTTTGTGGGAGAGGGCGGTGAGGACCTTGTCGAACTTCTCGTAGCGCCGGGCCTGGCTGTTGCTGGCGCCCTGGCTGCCCCAGAGGAGGCGCATCTGGAACTCGGTGCTGAACACCTCCAGGAGCTCCGGCCGGGCCTGGAACCCTGCAGGGCGGGGCACAGGGGTCAGGGGACCACCGTCCAGCTGGGGAGGCTGGGGCTCTGGCCTGAAACTACCACACCCCTCAGGGTCTCCCTCCTCGGGGGACCTCCCCCAGCTCCTCCAGGGACCTCACAAGGTTTGCTGATGACCACACAGTTTAGCACCTCATGTGTGTCCTACTGTTTGCAATGTATAATTTTAAAAGAACCAGAAGATCAAATATTAATATTAATTTTGGGAGGAATCTTGGGTGATTTTTCTTTACTTGTTTACATTTTTCTGTAAGTTCCAAAATTTTTCCTAAGAAATGTATATACATTTTGTAAGTCAATGTAAAAAAATTTTGTTCTTTCTGAAAAAGAAAAGAGTAAGAAAGACATACACCAGCACACTGATGGCCTTTACCTCTGAGTAATTGTGGGTGATTTTTTTTACTTGTTTTTGCTTAGCTGTAATTTCCAATTTCTCTACAGTGAACTTTTATGACTTAAATAATGCCTAAGGCAGTAAAAGATGGATTGTCTGAAGCCACTTTCTCTCTGCTCCTTTCCCCTTGAAGGCAGTGCAGGTCTATCTCAGCCCCAGGGCCCTGGGGCTGAGCGCTTTGCAAACAACCTTGTAAAGTGGGCCTGTTAGGATGCCCACTTCACAGATGAGAAAACCGAGGCTCAGAGACGCTCAGAGACTCAACCGTGGTGCTGTTTGAATCATCTCTTTGGCCCCCCACCCCCACCTGGCGCTTGCCACTCACAAATGCTTGTTGAACTGATGAGTGAGGAAGAAAAGGGATGAGACAAGGAAGCCAGGGGACGGGGCAGGAAAGAGGGATGGAGAAATGTGAATGGATGGGAGAGCGGAGACCATGTCAGGTGGAGGGAGGCCCAGGCCGGCAGGACCAGGGACTGTCTCCCCCAGACGTGACCGGGGACTCACCCTGCAGCTTGACCTCGGCGTTGGTGTGGTACAGCCCTCCATGGTGTGCCACGGTGCGCGCAGCCTCCAGGTGGGCCAGCACCACCTCCACGCCGTGCTCCGTGCTGCCCCAGGGCTCGGGGCCCTCGGCCGGGGCCGAGTCACATTCCAGCAGAGTGATGAGCGGCAGCACGTGGGGAAAGGTGGTGTTGCTCAGTGGCGGGCCTTCTGCAGGGCGGGAGACAGCAGGTGCTTAGAGACTCTGGGGGCCCCACCTTCCACTGTGGTCCAGAAACTGAGGTGCAAGAGGGCAAGGGGCCTGCCTGAGGTCCCCGAGAGGACCTCCAGCGCTCCTGACTCCTGACACAAACCCTTCCTTTTGGATTCCTCCAGCTGAACCCACTGCCCCTGCTGAACCCACTGCAGCCTGCCCCAGCCCTGAGGGCCGAGCCTGGACCTGGACGTGGCTTACACAGTTGCCAGGGGCAGAAAGTGAGCACTGGGAGAATAGTTGGCACAGAGCTCAGTCAAGCTCTCATCATCGTCCACCCACGGAGAGTCTTTGCCAGCCCAGAGAGGGCTGGAACCTGTCCAAGGTCACACAGCAAGGTGGGGAGGTACCTTTGCCCTCGTTGAGGCTCTTGAGAAATGGCTTGAGCTTCTTCTCATAGAGGATGGCACCCTCTGTGTGTCGCTGCCGCAGGGTCATCCATGTCTGCTCCAGCCGGGCAATCTGGGGAGACCAGACTGTAAGCAGCAAGCCAGCAAAGGGGCATGCAGGGGCCACAGGCCACCTTGCTGAGTGGACACTGGACGTGGGATAATTATCATCATTATGGTCACCTTTCACGTAACAGGGACAGTGCTGACAGTTTTTCACACGTCTCCCATGAAGCTCTCACAACAACCCATTTTACAGATGAGGGAACTGAGGCTCAGAGAGGGGAAGGACTTGCCCAAGGTCATTCCAAAATTAAATGGCCAAGCTGGGAGTTGAACCACTGCCTCTGGGACCCTGTTGTCACTACTGACTAGACCCAGGAGAGGAAGTGTCGTGTGGAGGAGGTTCAAGCTCTGAAATTAGACAGGCCTGGTTCAAATTGCAACTTTTTCAGCCTCTGACTGTGTGACCTTAGACAAGTACTGCTCTGCCTCAGTTTCTCCATAAGTAAAATGGGGACACTAAAGGCTCTTACCTCATGGCATTATTTTGAGGAATCAGTGCTTGTAAAGTACCTAGAATAGCTCCTAGCATATAGTAAGTGCTTGCTAAACGAGAGCCAGTTTATATTCATTCTTTAAACTCATATAATGCTCCTCATTCATTTTACAGGGGGGAAACTGAGGCCCAGAGAAGGGGAAAGATGTGGTCTCGGAGCAGGTCAGCTCTTAGAGAACTTGTTTCACCAATACTGCCAAGAAAATCACCAAGTTCTTCCTGATTCCCTATACAGCCATGCGGAAGGAACGCCCCTCAGGGCTCCTCCAGACAGAGGCTCCTTGAAGCCCCGCTCTAGGGGGCCCTTAGTACCTGGGCCATATCCAGGGCGCCCATGACCGCAGCGAAGCTGAACATGTTGCCCATGGTCCCCCGAAGCTCGGCCGCCAGCTGGATGGTCTTGTGCAGAAGCGCGGCCCGCTCCTCAGCGGAGCCAGTGCAGCCCAGGATGTCCACGGCCAGCATGATGGACATGGTGTGGAACCTGTCGGAGCGGCCAGGTCAAAGAGGCGGGGCCAATGACTGGGGGGCAGTTGGGAGCGAGGAGCGGAGGGCAGAGCCAAAAGTGAGAGGTTTTGTGAAGGGTCAAAGAGATTAGGCGGTGCGGCCAGAGGAGGGGAAAGCAAGGCTAAGGGCTTCTGATTGGTCAGTGTAGATCAGGGGCAGGGCCAGAGGCCCCTGAGCGCTCGGCGGAAGGGCTTGTGATGGATCTGTGCAATTCCCCGCAGAGGGCTGTTTTAAGAAAGAAGAGACGCCAGTGCTGATGGGCGGGGCCAAGGCTCACGGACTGGGATTGGTCAAGAGGATGCAAAAAGTCCGGGGATAAAGGACTTAGTCTGGGAAACCAGGATTTCTTGGAGCTGGAAGTTGTGATTGGTCAGAGGGTAGGGGGCGTGGCCAGAGCCCCTGGGAGCCGGGCTGAGAAACTGTGATTGGCCAGCCGTCCACAGCAACACGGGCGCCAGGCAGCCCGGGGCGGGGGCGGGTCCCCGCGAGTCCCCGTGCGCGGGAGCGTGTCTTACCTTTCCAGCAGGTCTAGCCGTAGCTGCCGGCCATGGGGGAGGGTGAGCAGCTCCATGCCCCAGCGGACTCCCATTAGGGTCTGCATCTCCTTGGTAACGCCCAGTATCCTAGCAACCTGCAAGGACGCCCAGAGGGCTGATTAATTTCCTGTCACGGCTGGCCCCAGCCATCTGGGAGTCAGAGAGCTTTATCTGGGAGGGCAGCCTGGCTGGGACGCTGGGTTTGAATTCCAGCTCTATCGCTAACCCTCTGACATGGAGCAAATGAGCCTCCTTTTTCCCATCTGTGAAATGGGGGTTAAAGGGAAAAATGCCCAGAGGTGTCTGACATGTGCCAGAGGTGCCCGGGAGACCCTTATTCCAGAAGGCAAACCTGAGGCCCAGGGATGGAGGGAAAAACTGAGGTGCAGAGAGAATGCGGGTCCTTAGATGGTCAATATTCATTCAAAGCAAAGTCCCAGGTATTGACAATTTATGGGCCTCGGTGATGATTTTGCTTATTTTGTCCACTAGGGGGCGTGGGGGCGGGGAGTCGCGCTTTTTCTAGTCCCTGGACCAGGACGGCTGACTTGCACCGGCTCAGAAAGTGCCCCAGGGAACCAGACACCACTGCGTTTCAGGACTGTTTGCTTCCAGTGCCAGACTGACATCCGGAGGAAGCAAGAATCTCTTTTTGCTTTTTTAAAAGGAGAAAATGGAGGCCCAGAGAGTAAAGTGATCAGCACAGAGTCACACAGCAAGTGAAGGGCAGCCGTGAAGCCAGAATCCAGGCCCACTTGCTATACTTGGGGAATTTAGGAGCCAGATCCTCACCACCCTGACCCCTGCCCCAAAGCCAGAGGACAGAGGTGCTGCCCAGGCCCCGTGCACACCCAGCACCTACCAGGCAGTCCACCTTGGTGACATGTTGGGCCAGCGTCCGGGCGTCCACCTCTGCCAGCAGCTCCTTGACCTTGCACAGGAGGCTCACCTCCAGTGGCCGGTTATCCTTGGGGATCAGGAGTGACTGGAAGGTGGCCGGGTTGAAGGAAGAAGTGGCCTCCACGACGGGGACTGTGAAGGCCCTGCCCCAGTCCCCCTCAGGGGCCCCATTTTCAGAAAGTTCCTTTAGTTTCTCCCCGGAGCTTCTGGCCTGCTGGCTGGAGGCCTCAGCCGCTGCCCACTCGCGGCTGCCACGCACGGGAGGCTGGAGCTGGCAGTAATGGCCAGAGTCCGGGTCACTGTAGCTGCTGAGCGACGGTGACGGGGAGGCCTTGCAGAGGGTGTGGGAGGGGCTGGCGTAAGATCCCTTGTCCGACTCCCCAGGGGGCTTTGGGGTACTTCCGGAACACAGCTGGGGTTCACTGGAGCGGCGGGTGACAGGGGAGGCAGGCAGCGCTGTGGCCGACGGGGCTGCAGGGGCAGCGTGGACACGGGTCACTGCAGGGAGATAAAGGAAGGGGACTAGTTACCATGGCTCCCCACCCAGTGAGGCTCCCCCACCCCCTTCCTCAAGGACATGCTCCATCCACCCTACGGGAGTGATGTCCCCACCTCCCACAGCCAGGCCAGGCCCAGCAGCCTCTGGCAAACTGACCAGCCCTCAGCGACACTCTGGACCCCAGGAGTGTGCACGCTCCTACCCTAAGGCTGCTGCAGCCTTGGGCAGCCACTCAACTACTTGGAGGAGCTTTCCGTGATTCAGAGAAGCTGAGCACTGGAGGTCGTTGTGTAGAATTATTTCTCAATGACTTAGTAAGAATGATTTATTGAGACACATGCACCAGGAGCTGGCGACATGCTGGAGATACGCTGGTCAACAGCAGTAAAACCATCATCCAAAATTAGAGGTGATGTTTATTGAGCTGTACAGCCTGTGAGATCCTTCTTAGCACACTAGTCCACTTAACCCTCTCAACATCCTGTGAAGCAAGCACTTTTATGATCCTCATCCTACAAGGAGAAAACCGAGGCTCAGAGAGGTGAACTGACCTGCCCGAGCTCACCCAGCCAGCAAGTGGTCGAGCTGGGATTTAAACCCAGGTGTTAAGTCCTCATGCCTGGGTACTTTACTCTGCCACGTTGCTTAGAAATTGTCCAGCAAATAATCTATGGCAAGGAATTTTAACTTTTACACTCAAGTGTTGTTTTGAAGGCAAATTTGTAGTGATGACAAGCCGGCAGGCCTGTGGTCAGGGAAGAATTTGTGACAACCCATGTGGACAGCGACATGGGAAAGGTGCCTCCCGGGCTGCCCCTCTCTCTGCACGCTCTGCCTGTCACGCGGGGAATATGCAATATGGCCTGTTGAAAATCTTCTTTTTTTCTTTCCAGAAATGAACTGGTGGCATTTTTCTATGACAGGAATTTTCTTTGTATTTAAAAAAGCACAGTGCTCTGCACTTTCTGTACAATTTTGCTGTGAACCTAGAACTGCTCGAGAAAATAAAGTCTATTTAAGAGAAAAAAAAAGCACAGCATGGCTAGCCTGGTTTGAGCCTGCCATTTGGGGTCGTGCATTAAGTCCCAGCCATCACAGGGCCCGGCAGAGCAGCCGATGCGCTGGGCGCTCGACCAATGGGTCTGAGGTTGCTGCAGGAGCCACGTCCCAGCACGGGAGCCCAGGGTCAGTAACACAGGGAGCCTCCCGCAGACCTGGCTGCATTCTGGAGGATGCACTGGAAACCACTCCGTGCACAGTGCCTGCTACCCAATAGGGGCTTAATAAATCGTTGCTGAGTGAACAAGCCGTGGACATGTTTTGTTTGTCAACATCTATAGTTCCACCAGCAGGTTTTTAGTGTAAATGCTTGTAGGGCATTGCACTCAGAAAAGAGGTAAGAAGCACACAATCACACACTGTAATGGAAGTTATCAAAGACAGACAGCGGACACGTGTGCACACAGGTCACTCCCGCCCCCCTACCCCCCCCCCCGGCTCGTCATACCGGTACTGTAGGCAGGGGAGCTGGGGCTCTCGGAGATGGGAGACATGGGCGAGTGCAGGTCGGGGATCTGGTCCATGCTGAGGGCACAGTTGCGGATGGATTCCCGGGGGTGGGGCACTGACGCACTGTGGAGCAGACAGCTACATGAGCAGAGAGCTCAGAGGTCAGGGTCCTCAGCCAGCCTTAGGACCCTCACCTCTAATTCCATCCTAGATCTGCTGAACTTCAGAGGCAGAAAAGGCTTGGAGATTATGGAGTCCAACCTCCCAGTTGACAGGTACAGAAACTGAAGCCCAGAGGAAGAAGGGCTTGTGCAGTCCACAACCTGCACAACTGCTCTCTTCCCTGGGAACCTTGTCCCCAGCTTGGAGAACTGTCTGGGGAGAGGGGCTAGCAGAAAGGGTGGGGAGCCTGAGGGAGCCAGGCCCACCAACTGGCCCCTCCTCACTGCTCCCACACTATGCTCAGGATGCCTCGGGCACACATGGCCTGTGGATCCTGGCACCATTATGGTCACCAGTTCCAAACCACAGGCCAAGTGGTGGCCGCCTGCAGGGTACCTGACCAGCAATTCCTTGGCTGACAGCACCCAGCCCAGACCCAGGGAGATGGGACCTATCCAAAAGCTGGTGGCGTAGGACGGCAGGTCTCTGCAAACAGCCAGGGAGGCCATGGAAATTAGGGGCACAGGCTTTAGAGTCGTGGACCTGAGTGTGAATCTCGGTCCTGCCACTCTTTAGGAAGTGGCTTCCTCTCTCTAAGCCCATTTCCTCATCTATAAAGTGGGGGACGGACAGGAGCCACCTGCCAGGGTGGGTGAGCCGATGAGATTGGGCACGGAGAGCACTCAGCTCACGGCCGGGTGCACAGTGGGGCCTCAGGAACGATTCGCGGCTGTGGCTGTTCCTGGAATGGGGGCCTGGTCTCACCCAGCCCCAGAGGCAACCAGGTGACATCAAAATGTCACCGAGAACGTTCCATCACTGACACCCCCCTTGACCAATGGGGAGACTGAGGCTGTGTGGGGTCCCTGCTTACCTGGTGGGACAGCTGTCCCCGCGCGTGACCTTGTCGGCGGTGAGCCCGTCGGTCATGGTGATGCTGCGCCGCTTCATGTGGCTGCCCTTGGGGCCAGAGGGACTGGCGGGGCTGGCGGCCTTGCCACTGCCCGGGCCCAGGCCGTAGCAGGCCTCCAGGTAGCGCAGCGGGAAGGTGCGGTTGACGGGGCAGTAGATGATGGCGCCGCTCTGCTCCGACACGGCCTTGCGGCTGCCCACATGGTAGCGCACGAGGGCGGGCACGTGGTCGAAGCTCTCCTGCTCGAACAGGTACTGGATGTGGGTGTAGCTCTCGCCCGCCTTCACCACCACCTTGTTGATCTTGAAGTGCAGGGCCTGGTTGCGCCAGCGGCACGTGAGCACGTAGTCCCCCAGGCTGGTGAGCGAGTCCCGGATGAGGAAGTCGCCATTGCGCTGCACCAGGGTCTCCGAGACCTGCGGAGGCAATGGTCAGGCTGCAGTAGGGCGGGGCAGGAGAGGGCCAGACCTGGGATCTGGGGGACACAGTGAACAGAGACAGCTGAAGCTTGGGATGAGAGACACAATGACCCGGATTCCGAGGGGCATCTCAGCCAGAGGCGCTGGGTCTGGGGCACAGAGGCTCAGGAATGGGGGGACATAACCTCCTGGAATGGAAGTCATGGGGACACAGGGTCTGGGGGAGCCGGGGGTCGCCATGATCTGAAACTCCGGCCTCAGACCTACTCCTTCTCATGGCTCATGTTGGGCGGAGTGAATTCCCAATCCCCATCCCTCTGAACACCCAGTGCTCTGGCACATCCCTGGGGCTCTGCACCCTGAAGTTGCTTTCTCTGCCTGGAACATCCTTCCCACCCTGCTCGCCTGGTGAACTCCTATCCATCTCACAATGGCCTCTCTCCTCAGCGCCCCCTTCTCAGGGCTTGCCCACAGTCCCTGCCGGGCCCTCCATTCTTGCACTTCCCCACAGGCTCTGACTGTCTGCCTGCCTGTCAGCCCCCACCCTGGACTACCAGCCCTCAAGGGAAGCCACCGCCTATTTTATCTCTGCATCCTTAGTGCCCAGCCCAGGGCCTGGAGGGTTGACACTTGACAGAGTTTTATAGCATGAACGAAAGAGGGAACAGGTGACTACCGGCCCAAGTCTGTGTCTCAGCCTAGAAACTCAACTTTGCCAAAACTGAGTAGCCTAAAGTACTAAACTGATAATCACTAACCAAACACACAATAGGCTGATGTGTAGACCCGTAACAATAACAGTAAAAAAAACCAGTAGTAATAATAATAACAACAACAAAGGACAATGTTCATTGAGCTCGCTGCAGGTCAGACATCATGTTAAGCACTTTTCATGCATTATTTCATTTAATTTTCATAATAATCCTTTAAGGTAGGTACTATTATTATCCTCAATTTCATAGATGAGAAAACTGAGGTTCAGAGAGGTGAAGTTACTTGTTCAAGGTCACACAGTCCATAAATGGCAGAGCTAGACCTCATCCCAGTCCACTCTGACTGAACCCACCAAGCAACAGCTCAGAGCCTCTCTGGCTGGGGCTGGCCGAGGCGGCGGGTGGAAGCGTCTAGGGCTGAGGTCCCGGCTCAGGGCCCACTCACCTCGCGGGGGATGCGGCCGTGGTACCAGGCGTGGCTGCGGAGATCTGTGCTGCTGAGTTTGAGCTCTTCCTCCAACTCCTTGTGCAGCTTCTCAGGCGATGAGTCCAAGATGTACTTCTCCTTGGAGAACTGGGTGAGAGGCAGCAAGAGTTGGCACCCAATGTGAAGCCCCCTTCCTCCTTCCTGCCCACCCTCCTCCTTCCATCTCCGAATGGGCCCTGGGAACACTTAGGCACAGGTGCCAGAAAGGTCCTCACCCAGCAGAAGTAAAGAAATCTCAATTAATTCCACCAAACAGTGCCTACTGTGTTCCAGGCCCTGTGCCATGTGCCAGGGGTAAAGGAGGCAATAAGTAAACCAGGTCCTCGAGGAAGCTCCCAGTCTAAGAGGGGAGGCAAAAGCAACATGAGCATTTGAGCAGACTGAGATCAGCACCACACTACTGGACAGCGGCAAACAGCCGGGTGGCTTTTAGAAAGGAGACGAAGTCTAGGCAAGATGGAGTGGTCCAGGAAGGCTTCCTGGAGGAGATGGCAATAACAAAACACTCATTATGCACCAATCACACCAAACTGATCTTGAAGTTGGAGGAGGAAGGATTTCTACATGTGGATCTGGGAAGTAAGGCAGCAGGTGCCCAGGCAAAGGCATGGACAAAAACAGAGCTGGATAGACGAAGATACATTCCGGGATGGTGGATTACACAGCGGAAGGGTGGAGGAGGCAGCTATAAACAGGGAAGCAGAGGCCCCCACACAGACATCTGCTCTGTCGTTTGCAATTCCCAAGGCCCTTTCCTCCTTGCCATCTCAAGCAACCCTTGCCAGATGGGGAAACTGCGCCCCAGCAGGGAAGCCCAGGGTCACTCACTGGAGATAATGCCCAGGACTCCTCACCTTGCACCTGCCCAAGGGGGAGATCCCTGGTTTCCTGGTTACTGTAGCCTCAGGTTGGAGGCCTAAGGGCAGGGGGAGGGGATCCCCTGCTGCCAGCGGCGCCCCCACCACGGAGCCCAGCCGAATCCTGGCCGTGCTGTGTGAGTTCTCTGGGCCTCAGTTTCTTCCTCTGTAAAATGGGTGTGATGACACAACCCGCCTCACCGGGTTGCAAGAATGGAAGGAGACAATACTCCAGAGCACTCTGACTAGCCCACAGATGTCCTCGCCACTGTGAGGACATGTGACATTGCTTCTTCTCCCTTCCCCCAACTCCAGGCCCCAAAGATGGCTGCTCCAGGACAGATAGATCTGGCCCAGAACTGGCCAGGTGGCAGGATAGATGAAGGGGGGCACTAAAGGGCCTGACTGCAGCCCAGGTGAGAGTCTCTCCCCAGGACCCCCCACCCACCAGGGTCCGAGGGTCCTCCAGCCCACTCTCTGCCTCCTCAGACCTTCCACAGTGCTCAGAGCCTAACTCTGCAGCTCCATTCTCCACCTTTCTGCTTTCACACTGCCTCAGTTTACCCCATCTACTCTGCTCCCAAGACACCCTTATTCCCAGCTTCAGAGATGTCTAGAAACTCGGACTCCATTATTTCAACATTGATTAAGCCCCCACTCTGGGACAGGTCCTGTGCCAGGAGCTGAGGCCCCAAGGTCATCAGGACAGGTGGCCTCTGCCCTGAGGGAGCCACACAGACACTGACAAGCAATTCCAGGTTTTCTGAATGTTCAGAGATGCACAGCTGCCTCTGGGAGCAGGTGAGAGGGTTCCTCCTCATCTCCTCAGGGAATGGAGCCCCTGAAGAGTGATGTTTCCACCGAGGAGGACTGGAGGAGCCAAGCAAAAGCATCAGGGTGGGGACAGACAGGCGGGCAGGTGGGCAGGGAAGAGCTCCCGGGAAGAGAGTGGCAAAGTGGGGGCCCTGCGGGCAGAGCCAAGGCCCTGGGGGTGGGGGCTGATGAGAAGCTCCAAAGGACTGGGGGTGGTGGGGGCAGGTGTGGCAGCATTATGAGGCTGCCTTGGGAAGCTGGGGTTTACCCAGAGGCCACAGCAGAGCCACAGAAGGTATTTAAGCCTTGGGGCAGGTTCGATCTGCTGTGTGGAGAGTGGCCCAGTGTTTTCCAGACAAGGGCAGAGCAGGGTGGGGCGTGGGGACGGGGCGTGGTGGAAGGGTGTTTAGATAGCCATTGATCGGATGTGGAGGAAGAAGGCAGAGGGGTGAGAGAGGACTCCAGGTAGAGGTCCTCGGAGGACAATAAGACACTCTCTGAGGTGGGACAGGACCACCTTGGAGATGGGTCCATGAAAATTCGGGCTTCAAGGAGCCTGTAGGGCTCTGGGGACAGATGGTGGGGGTGAGTGATGTGTACAGGTGCTGAGGGAAAGGCAGGGTCTGGGGATGGGGATTCTGCACATCCTCTGCCCAGGATAGAAGCTGATACCCCAGAAGGGCAGGGAGGCCCCGGGCTGAGCTGAGATTCTGGCCTTCTCAGATACCCACACTTCTCCACAGGGTTCCCCATTTCTGGGGGTCCCTGGCCTCCCTCCTTTACAACACCACACCCTGGGGAGGGAAGAATGGGAGTCACAGGGGAGAGGGCACCAGTACCCTAGGCTTCTGGGGTCCTTCCACGCTCTGACAAACAGCGTGCAACTGAGACTTGCTCCAGTTCCACAGCGGGAGCAAGAGAGAGACAGGGCAAAGAAGAGGAGAGAGCTGTGTGGTCAAGAACCTGGCCCCAAGACTCTGCCTGCCACTGTGTGACTTAAACCAGTCACTTTGCCTCTCTGGGCCTGGGCAGCCTCATCCGTAAATGGGGGGTGGGAGACTGGACTCCACTTTTCCAGCCATAATCAATGGCCAGGGAGAATCTGAGGGGACCAACTTGGTCCTCCTACACACCCGAGGGTAGGGAACCCCAGGGCCTGTGCTCTCCTCTTCACCCTCGACCCGGGGTCCCCAGCTCCCAAAAGGGAGGGGGGGGCTGGGGTGCAAATGCAGCATCCCTGCGCTCGGCGCACTGCTATTGGCTAGAGATGATCTCACCGCCTCCCAGCCTGCGCGCCCCTGATTGGCCGGTGCGGGGATGCTGCGCTCCGCTGCCGGCAGGGCCGTCATTCAGGCGGGCTTCGAGCGTGTGTGTGTGAGCCTGGGGCAGCGCAGAGGTGACGCGCCCGGCGTCCCCCAGGGGGCTCAGGAGGCAAAAGCGCGGAGACCCCCGGTCAGGGTCTTAACGCCTTCCCACCAGTCTGCTCCCAGCAAGCCCCCTCGAGCTCCCTTCAGTCTGCTACCCCAAGCAAAACCATCCCCAGATGATGCTCCGCAGAGAGGCGGGGTCCGGGTCCTCCCCTCCACCACCTTCCGTTTAACCCTTTCACCGCCACGGCGCCGACCTGCACTGCCCGGCCAGCTGGACTGGGAGACCCGCGCCCCGAGCATGCCCAAGCCCACCTGGAGGGCAGGAGGGGGCGGGCGCTCTGGCCCCAGCCTCAGGACCCGCAGCATCCCCTCAGCTTCCCGCGCCTCACCTAGCCTTCGGACCCCAGCCCAGCGCCCCGGGTACAATGGGGAGCCAGGCTGCCCAGGTCAGCTGCAGGGGCCGAAGTGCTCTCTGGAGGACCGGCAGGACGCCGGGGACCCCATCTCCCGGTACCCAATGCCCCAGCTCAGCTCCCGCCTGCGGAGGAGGCAGGACCGGAACGGCAGCCCCCGCAGTCCCGGGTCCCGGGAGCGGCAGCTGGACCCTCACCCCGCGGAGCGTCTGGGCGCCCAGAGGTGAGGCTGGGGCGACCCCGCCTCCTCCCGCAGCCGCAGCCCGCAGCGCGCAGCCCCTGCCCCTGCCCCTGCCCCTGCCCCTGCCCCTGCCCGGCCGGACCAGCCCGGCGCCACGGGGCTGCGGCTCCTCGACTCCCCGGCTCCCGGCTCCCGGGATCCCGGGCCAGGGCGGGGCGGCCGGGGGTCCCAGCCCGGAGCTCCCGGCGGGGTCGAGCCGCCCCCTCACCTGCACCTGCACGAAGGAGCCGCGGTAGAAGCAGCAGGCGGCGGCCGACAGGGCGCTCCACAGGCTGCACCGCTCGGTCATGGTGGGGCCGGGCGGCCGGGCCGGGACGGCGCGGGGGGCGGCGGCCGGCGGGCAGGGGCGCAGGGACCGACCCGGCTGGGCACCGGCTGCGCGTGCCTCTCGGCGGCGCGATTACCTCATCGCCTTGTCGGGGGAGGAGCGGGGAGGCGGGGCGGGGAGACCCCACCCTCCACCGGCCAGGGGAGGGGAGGGGGCCATTGTTCCTCCCTCCGCCCGACCCCCGCTCCCCGCCCCTCGCCCCCCGCGCTCCAGCCCCGCGCGCCCCAGCTGCCTGGAGTCGGGGGATGCGAGCAGAGGACCTGCCAAGGGAGGCGTCCCGGGGGGCAGCGGGATGGGGTGGGGACCCCTGGGCCGGCGAGGGGGAGTTCCTGCCTCCCCAACTCGCGCACGCCTCTCTGACACCGAGGGGACAGACTTTGAATTAAATCCTATCTAAAGCTGGAAAAATCCCTGTATGTGTTTGACCAAATCCTTTGTGGCCTCAGGAAATCTCCCAGAGCCCAGGATTTCTCATCTCTAATATGGAATCAGGGACTCTGCTGGGAATTGCGGGATGTTTGACTGACAGACTCAGGGGTGCAGAGAGCCAGTAAGGCTCAGCAGTCAGGGCACCAACCTGGGTTCAGCTAGGGTGCCCCCACCTCCACCCCACCAGCCCAGTCTCTTGGAACCCAGATTTACTCATCTGGAAAACATCCCTGGGCTGACCTCACAGAACTCTTGTGAGCATTGGCTGAGCTGATGTACGGAAGCATACAGTAAGCACTCAATAAATGCACACTCTTCAAGCTTAGTGTCTTAGAATCTGGACTTTTTGTCCTAGTGTCATAGTCTCATCAATGCAAAGGGAGTCATCGCTGACTCTGCATCAGTCAGGCCTGGGGTTCAAATCCTTTTGACAGGCTCTGTGACCTCACGCAGGTGAGTCCACCTCTCTGGGCCTCAGTTGTGGGTTTGATTGTTTTCTGTAAACACATCTGAAGCTCTGAGCATGGAGCTTGGAATTTTATGATCTTGGAACTTTAGAATCCTTGCCTTAGAATCAAAGTATTCGCATCATGGTCTGAGAACCCTGCAGTTCTGGAAGCTAAGTACCTCAGGGCAGGAATGGACTCTTGGTAACTGACTATTGATTCCATTCTCATCTGAGGCTTGAAGCTAAAACTAACATTCCTTTGGCTTCATCCTTTAGGGGGTTGTTGGCTCAGTTCCAGTGAACAGGTTTATTTCTTTTATAATATTTTTTAAAATTACATTTTTTTAGCCCCATAAACTAAAGGAAAAATACAAAGCTAATAATCCTCAGACGGATCTCATTACCATCAGTGACGGGGATCTGACTACCTTGCCAGGCAGCTGGGATCTGTGGGGTGCTCAAATGTGCCCCCTGTATGTTCCACCCACGGGCTTTGGTGCTGTTTCTCTCTGAGGCCTCTGCCCCCTGTGGTGTAAAGGGAGAGGATGTTGGTGTATGTTCCTGGTCAATTGCAATGGCTTGGCTTCAATGCCTCCTCCTCCAGAAAGCCTCCCTTGATCTCTCCCTCCCCAGCTCCCGAGCTGAAAGTCATCCCCTATCTCTGGAGCTGCAATGGCTTCTTATCTGAGCCTTCTGGTGATGGGGGGTTGGGGGGCGCAATCTGAGCACTTTCCACGCTGCTTCATTACGAGTCACCTACACAGAGCTTTACAGGCGGCATCTCAGGTAGCAGAATGTCCCTGGGGTCAGAAGCCAAGCCAGCCTGCTCTGTTCCAGGCCCAGCTTTCTCAGTCATGGGCATGGACTCATTGAGCCATAGCAACCCTGGGTTGGAGGTGCCGCTGTTACCCCATTTCACATAGGTGAACACTGAGGCTCAGAGAGGTGACACACACCCCCAAAGTCATATGGCAATTAAGTGGCAGATCTGGGACTAAAATTTGGGTCTGCTAGGTTACAAAATACAAGCTCAAACCATTGTGTGATTCTGCCCTGTCCCCACGTGGACTGGGAGACCTCTGAATACAGGGCCTGGTGCTCCCTGCCCTGTGCTGAATGCTCCCTACTCAGCAGGGGGCCTGGCTCAGGGTGGGTGCTCCTGAGGTGGAAGGCCAAGGGCTTTGTCCATGGTCTTGGCATCAAATGGACTTGGGCTACAATCCCAGCTCTGTCCCATAGTGGCTGTGTGGCTGTGGGCAAGTCACTGTACTTCTCTGGGTGTTAAGTTTCCCATCTGTAAATGGGTGCAAGGAAGCTTTTACTGCCCAGTGATAAGGGAGGAAGTCAAAGACCTCATTCCCATCAAGAGCTCAAAACTGTCTCCCTTCCAGTGTCAGCAGCCAGCACAAGGCTCTGCACACAGTAGGTGCTCAAAGTGTTACGTTGCATGATTATGGTTACTATCATTATTTCAAAACTGCATTTTCAACATTCCCAGCGACATCCCCAGGACAAATGAAGCATGTGATAAATGTGAGGCGTGCCCATCATCTGTGATGAAGAACTGAGTCATCGTTTCCTGCTCCTACCTCCCAGCACCAGTATGTGCTCAAGACCGGGTGGGATTAGAGAGCCACAGTCTTTGCCCGGAGACACCCGTGGGACCCGTCCAGATGGCAGGTGGCTGGGGTTTGGTGGTAACAGACATTGGGATGTCCTGAGTGTGGGGCCAGGAGAGAATGATGGCAGGCATGGGAAGAAGATGCTGGGAGGGAAAGCAGACCCCAAGCGCTGCCCCAACTGCTGAAACATGCAGCGAGGTCTGGCTCCTAACAAGGCTCAGAAAAGGACTCTGCCTTTCACGGAACAGGCTCTGAGCCCCAGTGTGCCCTGCCCAGCCCCTCTTACCTTCACGTAGTCCCCGCCAGCCTCCAGCTCTCCAGCGGCCCTGGAAGGAGAGAGGAGAGGTGAGTGTCCCCAGCTGCCAGCCTCTGCCCACCTGCCTGGTGCCAGCACCTGGCCCTCGGACCCCAGAGAGCTCAGCGTGAAGGCAGGAGGGGCTGCTGCAGCTGCTAGCAGTCGCCGGAATCTGCTGGCTGGCTGATCCTCCACTCTCCGGCTGTGCGACTCTGGCCAAGTCGCTTCACCTCTCTGAGCCTGGGTTTCCTATTTGTCAATGGGGATAATGACAGCCTCTGCCTCATCAGGTTGCCGTGAGGACTCAGGGCGCTGATGAACGTTTCATGCTTAACAGGGAGCCTGCTTCCTGAATCACTGTCTTCACCCAACTTCAGGATGTTGTGCTCTCCTGGTGTCCCCCCAACCAAACGGTGGCCCAGGCTGGGGCTCAGGCTCCTCTCTTCCTGCCCTACACTCACTGGGAAGTGCAGAGTGACCCCCTGAGCGGCCGCCCAGCACACTGTGGTGCTACTGCTGGTGACAGTTGGCTGCAGAATTGATCCCTTCTGCCTCCAGGGTGGCCGGGATGGGGCCTGGAGAAGCCAGAGGCCCGGGGTGGTTGGTTTCCCAGGTGCCAGACAAAGATCCTTCCTCGTGAGTGCCACTGAGCCACTTCCCCCAGTCCTCCGCCTTAAATGCCATCCCTTCACTGATACGGCCTGGACCTGCCCCTTCGACACCAGTCTCCCCAACCCAACTGCCTTCTTGGTGCCTCCTCTTGCGTCTAAAGTCATCTTGAACTTGTCACATCCAAAGCAGGACCGTTGACCCCCCCACTTCCTTCCTACCTCAGTTGATGTCACTTTCATCCCTGTTGCTTTGTTTGGCCAAAAGCCTGGTGGTCCTCTGGGCCTCCTGTCTCATCACACTCCACACCCCATCCATCAGGAAATCCTGCCTTCAAAATAGATCCTGACCGCGTCTCTCTGTGTGTCAACCCTGCCCCACCGGGGACACCCTCTGTGTCCTCTACAGGGCATGGGGCACACAGCAGCCTTCTCCTGGCTCACCGCGTGTGCTCTCATGCCCCTCGGTCAGCTTCCACTCCACCCCCAGACGGCACTCAGGAGAAAACCGAAGCAGATCATGGTGCACCCAGAACCCCCAACCCTCCAGTGCTCCCATCTCTCCAAGAACAAAATCTAAACCCCTCTTGTGGCCTGCAAATGGCTGGCCATGTAATTTATCATCCAAACCAGAATGCTTCTCTGCTCATGAGAGTAAAGGGGGTGCCATTATTACGCCAGAAAAACAGGTGTAAAACAGGTCACAGGTTCCCCAACCTACAAGGCCCTGTGTGGCCTGGTGGTACCCAACTGCCTTCCTCACCAGCCCCGCAACATGCCTCCCTCGCTCATTTGGTTCCTTGTTCTGCCCCAGCCACATTGGCCTCCTTGCCAAGCTCATTCTTGCCACAGGGCCTTTGCACTTGCTGTTCTCTCTGTCTAGAATGCTTTTCCCTCAGATCTTCACCCAGCTTGCCCATCCCCCCACTTTATTCAGGGCTCTGCTTAATGTCCCCTCCTCAGAGAAGCTTTCCCTGACCACCCTGCCTAGAATAGTCTCTTGTCCTTCACTCTGTCCTCAATCCTGCTTTATTTTACTCAATGGCTGCCTGAAACCATCACTCTACATTTATTTGTTGACTGTTAATTACCTGATGCCTCCACAGGGGAACTGCCTTTGTCTCATTCATCATTGAGCCCCCAGCCCCCAGCACAGTGCCTGGCATATAGTAGGAGCTCAAGAAATATTTATTGCTTAAAGGAATGCATGAATAATAAACAACCAATGTTAACCACTGCCATTATTACTATTCTGTCAGGCTGGACCCTGGTTCTTTGGCTAGGAGAGGCCTCAGTATTCCCATCTGCAAAATGAGGGAAGCTGAACATTGAGAAACTGCTTCCTCAAATACAGAAGCCCAAATTTAAATTTAATAAAATAAATTAAATTTAAAATAAAAAAAGCTGAGCTAAAAAAATACCAAAATTGTGGGTAAGGTGTGTGTTCCCAGGACAGAATTCCACGTGGGGTTCCCCATAGCTCCTGAGGCCAAGGGTTCCTCATAGAGAAGCTGTCTGACAGCCCTCCCTATTCTGACATTCTAGAATCCCCGTGGCCAAACTTCCCTCCTACAAAGTCCTTCTGACTTCTAACCATAGTCCCTCAAGCTGCAGCCCGGCCACAGCAGGCTTCCCAGGCCGTTTGGGTTCCGTCTGTCCAGCAGCAGTGGACCCCTCCCCCTGCTCACCTCCGCCAGCTCTTCCCGGGTGTCCCATCCCAGCGTTTCCGGCCATTCAGGCCCGGAAATCCTCCCACTGTTAGGAACAGATTGGCCAGGACACTGGGATCGCCCCAGCGCTTCCTCCTGCTTCCCGTCCACTTCCCCTCGGGCTCGGCGGTGGGGGCAGAGCCTTGGGGAGGGGCAGCCTGCACCAGGGATCAGGTGGGCTGAGGTGGCCAGAGCCACTGGGAATGCTCAGGGCAGAGGCCCAGGCCCGGGAAGCTGAGGGCCTGGGGCCACAGTCAGCCCCCATCCCTCACCCTGCCCCTCCACAACACTCTGGCATTGCCGAGACATAATGCAACCATGTCTGCTACTACAGCCACCACCTTGTCACTTGTCACTTGCCAGGCACTTCCCTGCCTCCATCTGTGCCCCCCGTGACTTGTTCTCACCCCAGCAGCCGGAGCGGTCCTGTTAAAATGAAAGTCAGATCACGGCTTTCCTCTGCTTCAACACACTGGAGTGCCTCCTAGCTTCACTCCCGGTTTCCTCTGAGAATGAGCTGAAGTCCCCATAACAGCCTTCACACACCAGCTCCTCGCCACCTCTCCCACTCCACGTCTGACCACGCTCCCCTACTCACAGTGCTCCAGCCAAGCTGGGCTTCGTGCTGGCTTTTGTCTCCACCTCAGGGCCTTTGCACTTCCTGTTCCCTCTGCTGGAATACTTTCCCTCCAGATATCCACAGAGCTCCCACCCTTCCCTCCTTCAGGTCTTACTAAAACGTTCCCTTCTCAGTGAGGCCTTCCCTGGCCACCCACCTGAGAGTGTGGCCTTCTGATGCTCCCCACCTTTCTCCTCTACTTAGCCATTCTCCGTAGCACTTCAGCTGACTTGCCAAGGATCTCATCTCAAGAATTAACTATCTCTTCTCGCCAGAACACCAGCTCCACAAGAGCAGGGCTTGGGATCTGCCTAGAAGGGTGCCAGGCCCCCCATAAAGACTTTTTTTGAATGAATGAATGTCACAGCAGCCCCTGCAACCCTGAGGACAAAGCCTAATCCTCATGGCTCAGCCCTCTGTGGCTGGTCATCCCTCCTCTCTCCCCCTAGCTCTTCCTTGCACTCTGGCCTTCTCGAACTTCCTCCAAAGAGCTCTGCTCCCTCCAGCCTCGGGGCCTTGCACACGATGTTCCCTCTGCCTGGAACCTCCTCTCTCCCTTAGGGCCAGAGTAATTTCTACTCAGCCTGCAGATCTCAGTTTGCTTGGAGATTTCTAGAACATTCTCCCTCCCATGGTAATGACTAAATCCAGGAATCAAAGCTTCCATTTTTAAAAACTCAGCTCCATTAATTCATATATTTATTCCTTATTTTATGGACTTAAAAGCCACTTCCCCTCTAATATTAGTGGTGAAATCAATTAATAAATAATAGTGACAATTGAGCAAAATCAGTCCCATTAATCAGCCACATTAATTATTTAAATAACCAACCCCTTTAATTGCCTGTACTAGCTGATTTGTTCTGATAACTGATACCACTTATTGCATATATTAGCTTAATTAATTGGATTAATGAGCAGTAATTAGAGCCCATTATCCTTTATTTCCCCAACGCATGTTTAAATCTGAGCTGCACCTTCAGGGCCTCCGTCCTGGCCCAGAAGAAATGGTGGGGCTCCCCTGGGATCCTGGAGGAGACGCGGTGGAGCAAGGCTGACGTCTTCTACCGCTCTGGCCCTCCCTCACCACGGGCAGCCTTGCCCTCTGTACAGACCTGCTGCCTGGCTGCCTCTGTCTGTCTCCCGGTTTGTTCCCTCGGCCCTGGGCCCAGTCACGCAGCCTTGAGTGGAGGTTTCCCCAACCTCTGCCTCCTGCATCTCAGCTTTCCCCTGCTCCGCCCTCCCCTCTCTGATGTTCAACTTCCTCATCTGTGAAGTGGGCACATTATAACTGTCTTCCCAGAGGGGCCACGACGATCCAGGAGAAGGAATGGTGCAAGGCTCCCTAGCCCACGTGGCTCCTCCTCCTGCCCCAGCCCCCACCCCTGAAGATCTCCCATCCTGCCCCTCTTGGGGGCTGAAGATTCTTTCCCTCCTTCACTCTGACCCTCACTCACCCCGGCAGCAAAGCAACACTGCTCTTTGCTCCTTAGTCCTTAATGACCCTGGGCAGAGAGAGCTGGGGCAGAAAGCCCAGTGTCTCCCGGGACACCCGCCGTGGGGCCTTTGGGATTCCCTGCCCAGAAGGCTCTTGACTTGAGCCCCCGCCCTGCCCCACCTCCTCTAAGATGGGCCACCACTGTCCTGGAGAAGTCCCCGTTCCTTCTCCACCATTCAGTCTTCTTCACTGGACTGCCCTCCCCAGCAGGAGCTCAGAAAGGTTGCCAGCCCTGAGAGGAGAGGGCAGATGGGGGGCCATTCTTCCCAGGGTAGAGCTGAGGATTCTGAGTCCTGAGAGCTGCGAAATGAGACTCAAAATCTGCTGGAAAAGAGCCAAAGGGGCAGGCACGTCTTGAGTGCTGACTGAACGCCTGTGGTCTGGAAGCGCCTCTTTATAGGGGAGAAAACTGAAGCTTGCGACTTGACCCAGGACACGCAGCTGTTCAGAGCAGGTTGGCTCTGCTTTGTTCCTTGTATGAGGCAGGCTCCCCCAGAAAACAGGGACTGCTCTTGGGTGGAGATGGGGAGAAGCTGGGGAGGGGAGGGGAGGGCAGAGAAAAAATAATATTTCAACCAGACCAGGAGCCTAGAACCA